CCAGAGGCGCATGGAGTCACACACACATCAAGCGCTCCGAGACACGGACATGCTTATGCACTGCTTGGACTGTGTGTAAGGACGCGAGGCTTCAATTTCAAAGCGACAGCCACATGATGCCGGCATAGTGTGATACGACTACACTATAAATGTAAGACAAAATGGCCCCGACAGCAGTGAAGGGGATGGGCACTGACGGCAAACGCGAGTCCCTCACAGAGGTCACAGGCGCTTGCTGCTCAGAGCGAGACAGGCAGAGAGATGTAAAAAGGAAGAGAAGAGTAAAAGCTGGCAAACTAAGGGACCCTCTCGACCCTAGCCAACAGTTTGTGCGCGAAGTTATCCGGTGGCAAAGGCAAATTGCACATCAACGTGGGGGCCCAAAACGGAGGCACTTGTCGTCGCATTGATGGTCACGTCGCATGCCTGGGTGTTGTCCGGAAGCGAATCCTGGACCAAATCCGCAGCGGTCAGCTTATGACCGTTGGCCCAGGTTACGGTGAGACCGGAAAAGGCGACTTGGCCATTTCCGGGCATGGTCTCACAGTTCAAGGGTGCATTCTCCATCCCAATGACAAGGTCGCCGTAGTGGTCACCAGGGCCGGCCCAGAGATCCCCTTCCTGCAAAATTCGTGAGACCGAGGTAAACACAAAGTGGTAGTCGCCTCCAGAAGTAAGCTTCATGGTCAATCCCACTGTTGATCCGGGTAGTACATGCATAGGCCGCGCCTGCGTGCTCGAGGGAACCATCCCACAAGCCCAGGTCAGATTAAGTGCCAGACAGGCGGGCTACTCCCACCTTGCTCCAGTCACGGCACCCAAGCCGGGACAGAGGTGCGCACCTGCCAGTAAGAGTGATTGTAGTCCCGATATGCCTCTCCAAAGACGGCAAACTGTGGTCGCGTATTGCCCCTGAGGTATCAAGGGCACAACAACAAAACAAAACAATTCAAAAAGCAAACAAGACACGAGCATCGACAAAGTTGAGAGGATGCTCAAGGGCAGGTTGGGGTGCGCGTCCCGGAGGGACTTGTCCGTAGCAGGAGCATGCAGGATCTTCCAACGAAGCCTCACCAAGCCAGGACTGAGCGAAGATAGGCATTTTGCGTCGTTGAGTTGACCAAGGCAATCCACCAGCCTGGTGAGGCTGGTCCATTTCTGCGTGCAGCAACAATCGACTGCGCGTGAGAACCAAGGGGACATGGTGCCAGTTTTGGCAAGGTGTTGCCATCTGTTGCATCTTCTGCATGTAGCACCACAAAAAAGCAATCATCCGACGTACGGATCTTGCGGCGCATCGGGAATGACAAAATTGGCGGTCACAGACGTGACCTGGCTCCCGTTGCCCACCGCCCGCATCCACACGGCCCAGTTGGTATCAGGAAAAGTAAAACTGTCAGCCAGTCCCCAATTCAGACCCTCCATGCCCATTCCTTGCCACTCTGCATCAGCCTCAATGGCCGAGCCCACGGCAAGCACCAGGCTCCACAGCACCACCCACTTGCGCATCCTCCTGGTCGCTGAGCGAGCGCCGCTGCGAAAGTACGCCCATTATCACACTTTAGTGCATCACACACACACACACACGCAAGGAACCGAGTTTGTCTGACATCGAGCACACGTGTAGAGAGAGAGAGAGAGAGAGAGAGAGAGAGAGAGAGAGAGAGAGAGAGAGAGAGAGAGAGAGAGAGAGAGAGAGAGAGAGAGACCATTCCTTGCATTTGGACGAAGCTCGTGGCTCGACGGCGGCAGTCCTGGTCTGGTCACACGGAGGCTCGACTCGGGTTTCGGTTGGCGGGCGTTGTTGGTGGATTTGGATAAGCGGTTTGGTTGGGGCTGCGTGTTGGCGGCTGTGGCAGCCGTGTGGGCTGCGCAGGCGATTGTTGGCAGGCCTTTGTCAGCTGGTGCTTGCACCTTTGCGCGCTGCTCCCCCAGCTGCCGGCTCAGGCTTCTGTGCCTTGACACGCCACCATGGATGATCAATCACACAAAGCTCATCACACCGCCAAGAGTGGCGCCAAGGTCAACAAAAAGGCCAGCAAGAAGGGCAAGTCTGGTCAAGGCAATGACCCGCGCGCCTTTGCCATTCAGGGCGTGAACAAGTTTCGCCGCCGCGTCTTTCATGCTCTAGACAAGTTCGTTGCTTTCTTTGCTCCCATGACAATTTTTAGGCCCGAGATTCCAGGCGTAACGGTGCATGTCATATAGGGCAGGGCAGGCATGTGCCTAGAAAACCTTGGTTCCTTCTCCATGCTCATCAACTGGTCTGGTCTTTGCTGCCCATGTTCGGTCGCTCGCGGTGCAGGGAAACAAAAAAGCACCATGCCCCCGTGGCCAATCGGACCAGCAGCCTGCCCCCTCCGATTGTGGTGGTTGTGGCAGGCCCCCCGCAAGTGGGCAAAACTACCCTCATCCGCTCCCTTGTCAAGCGCTACGCTAAACGTACCCTCAACACCATTCAGGGTCCCATCACCGTCGTGGCAGGTCCGCCCTACTTTGAGCCCTCCCTCCCTTGAGTGCGACCACACATAGGAAAAATATACGCATCGTCACACAGGCACCTCCATCGCACTGCCCATCCCAATTCACACTCGACGTCGGCTGCATCGTTAGGTAAAAATCGTCGCCTTACCTTTATCGAGTGTCCCAATGACATCAACTCGATGATTGATCTGGGCAAGATTGCCGACCTGGTGAGCCCCGGTGAAAGCCTGTCTTTTCCTCCGTGCTGCTCTGCCCTCCTCTTTGCCTCTCCACAAACATTGAACTCGCACGTGACACAGTGCTGCACAAGGACCACTGTGATGATGCATCGCGCTTATCCCGGCGCTATGCGCTCCCTTCTCTGCTTAGGTTCTTCTGCTCGTCGATGGCAGCTTTGGTTTTGAAATGGAAACTTTCGAGTTTCTCAACATTCTTCAGGTCATCATATGAATCCGCTCTTTCGTGTCTCTGGGTTCTTCTTGAGCCATGTGCCTCTGTTCACGCCAGTACATGCAGCCAGCGAGGACACAGTCGTAATCCAGCCATCCTATCTCCAACCCATGAGCGCAGCCTCATCCGCACGCGCTTATGTTCATTGTAGACGCACGGTTTTCCCAAGGTCATGGGTGTCCTGACGCATTTGGATCGACTCAGTACGGCCCGACAACTGCGCAAGGTCAAGAAGGAACTGAAACAACGCTTCTGGACCGAAATCTACCAGGTACACCCGCCGCATGCACTGCGGCGCCCACGCGCTTAGAGGAGTTGACACCCCAGTCTTCCTGTGGTCAACCAGTGTCAAGCTCATGCCCAATGATTTCTGGCCACCCGTTGCTGCCACTCACGATCAATCGCACCAGGGTGCCAAACTGTTCTACTTCAGCGGCATCTCCCACGGCATGTACCCCGTCACCGAGGTCAACAACCTCACTCGCTTCATTTCCGTGGTCAAGTTCCGGCCTCTTTTGTGGCGCAATGCCCACAGCTACGTCGTGGCTGACCGGTGCGGACCGGGCTGTCGCTTGCCTCTGCCCAGTTGCAGCACTATCGCACTCTGACACATCTGCCTGCTTTATCTTTGTAGCTTGGAGGACATTACTGATCCCGAAGATGTGAGGCGGGACCGCAAGGTGGACCGACGCGTGGCCGTCTTTGGTTATGTGCGCGGTACTCATCTCAAAGAAGGTATGGAGCCAGCATTTGCTATACAGCTCAAGAGCGCTTGAATCAGAGCGCCTCCCTTTCGCTCCTTGACGCGAGCTCTGCACGTTTTTTTGGCGGGTCATTTCTTCTCATGCTGCGTCTGCCACAGGCATGCGGGTACACGTCCCGGGTTGTGGTGATCTCGCCATGGAATCAATCCAGTTGCTGGCAGACCCCTGTCCTCCTCCTCAAACCGATCAGGATGTCAAGAAGAAGCGTCGTCTCGATGATCGTGACAAGCTCATTTATGCCCCCATGTCTGACGTTGGTGGCATCCTTTACGACCAAGATGCCGTCTTTGTGGAGATGCCTCATCTGGACAAGAAGAGCCATGGTTCTAGCTCTGCCATGGAGAATGAGTTTGGCATCACCGATACTCGTGAGCAGTTGATCCATGACCTTAAAACACACGACCTGGTCCCTCCACCCCTGGGTGAGGAGCGCGATGAGGATGCACGCCTTCTTGGCCATTCCAACGAAGACAACGTCGATGGTGAGGATGAAGACAACGAGGCCTCTGCTCAGATGGACACGGATCTTGATCAAGTTGGTAGCTGATCTGGCAATCGTGACTTGGGCCCGTTGCTGGGTGGTTCGTGCGTCATCTCATCTTTTGGAACACGTCGCTTGTTTTCATCTTCTAGGGCTTGCAACTTTTCAGCGGTTCATCCGCCCTTCGATTGAAAGATGTCCAGTCGGCCCAGCCAGGCGAAGAATCGGACGTGGAGGATGACGACGAGGATGAGGATGAGGATGAAGATGAGGACGAGGACGAGGACGAAGAGGCTGGTGATGACGCCTGGCTCGAAGAAGGTGAAGATGAGGACGAGGATGAAGATGACGAGGAAGCCACGGGCGCCGTCTCTGCACAGGCTGCGACCAAGCGCCTGTAAGTCCACGAGTCGTGCTTGTTAATCTTCCTTGCTCAAGGCCTTTCTCATTTCTTGCTTTGTCATGATATCCTACAGTCAACCCGTTGAGCAGCGCGTGGTCAGCGAGGGCCGTGCTCGTCGCCGTGCTATTTTTGCAGACGAACCAGCAGAGACCAAGGAGGACTTGGCGTTTGAGTCCGATGCCGGTTCTGACGATGAGGAGGAGGATCATGTCATGCCGGAGAATGAGAATGGTGAGATGGAGAGCGCAGAGGATGATGCAGAAGACAGCAATGAAGACGGCGACGAGGACGACGGCGACGACATGAACCTGGCAGACGGAGGCATTTTGAGCGCACATCGCTCAACATCAGCAGATTTGAACGAGGACGATGAGGAGGACGATGAGGAGGACGATGAGGAGGACGATGAGGACGATGAGGAGGACGAGGAGGGCGAGGACGAGAAGGATAGTGATGGCGAGGTTGAGACAGTCGGTGCGTTATCAATTGCTTAGACTCCTCCGCACTGCTGCTGTATGTGCTCTCGCGAAGGCTCAAAAGACTTTTTCTTCATCACGTTATGGGCTCACGCTAGGTGGAGCCAAATGGAAAGATGGTATGCTGGAGCGAGCGGCCCGTTCCTTCTACGAGCGTCAAGCCGTCAATATTCAACGCATGGTCTACGGAGCTGGTATGCTTACTGTCCACGCAGCGTATCGGCGTCACCTTTGACGCTGCACACGGCCCTCATTTTACTTTTGGCATCTGTGTTGTCGTTCCTTGCGCAGAGTTTGATGTGCCCGAATCTGATGCTTCGTCCGACGAGGAGGCAGAGGACCACGAACGTGCCAATGATTCTGCGGATAGTGGGGATGAAGATGATCTGTTCAAGGTATGGTCGTGTTGGGCTCCGATGCGTTTGGACATCAAGCGGCCGGTGCATGTCTCATGCCATGTCACTGGTGTGTTGGTCATCTTATGCAGGTCAAAGAGGAGATGGAGGCACTGGAGATCTCCGACAGCTCTCGTCCTGACGTTCTCCTGACCGTCGCCCATGATTGGTCTCAACCCGAGGTTTGTATTTGTAAATGATCTCGTAGGCTCTACATCATAGCCACAGGTGTGTTTGCCCAGTCGTGTGAACTCAACACTTGCTCATTTTGTTCAGGTGTTGGCAAGCATCCGAGACCGCTTCGTGACTGGCAAATGGGACGCGTCATCAGATGCGGCAACCTTGCTCCGTCATCACGAGGCTGCGCTAGCCGGCGAAATGTCCGAGGATGAGGAGGTCTATGGCGATTTTGAGGACCTCGAAACGGGCGAAAAGCATGAAGGTTTGTTCTGTCCGATCGTTTCAAGGCATAATTGGATTCGTTCTGTGTCTCCAACGCAGCGGTCCCTTAACATGGTTTGGCACGGTGACACAGGCGGTGCCGAGAGTGGCAAGGCCCAAGGCGAGGAGGGAGCTGATGATGGGGACAACGAGGAAGGACCGGCTGACGGTGAGGCAGCTGTGAAGAGCAAAAAGGACATGTCAGCTACAGAACGCCGTGCGTTCAAGAAAGCCCGCATGAAAGCCCTTTTCGACGACGAATATGACAAGGTGACGGGTGGCGGCAAGACGCATTTTGATGAGGTGAGTTGAGCTTTAGCACTTGCCAAGCATTGCGTAGCTCGAGGATCATGTGTCGTGGTTTGGAGCCGACTCTACAATTGGTTCTGACGCACAATTTTGCGCCGGCTTGCCTTTTGTCTTGGGTGGCGACCCACAGGTGAAGGATGCTGTCGAGGAGCAGCTGCGCTTCAACGTGGATGAGTTTGCGGATGATCCCGAGGAACTGCGCGTCCAGTATGAGGGCTATCGACCCGGCCTCTACGTGCGCATTGTTCTCGAAGGCGTACCCTGCGAGCTCATTGAACGCTTTGACCCCACCTACCCCGTCTTCTTGGGTGCTCTTTTGCCCAACGAGTCCGAGCTCGGCTTTGTTCAGCTCCGTTTCAAAAAGCATCGGTGCGTTGTTGGGGCGTTTGTCTCGGAGAGCAAAGCTGCTTTCTGTCATGCCAGCAACACACTCTGGGATCGTGGTCTGGCAGTACACCGTCCTTTTCACCATCCTCATCCCGCTTACAGGTGGCATCCGCGCATTCTCAAAACGCGCAACCCTGTCATCATGTCTCTCGGCTGGCGCCGGTTCGAGACCATGCCAATTTATGCCATCATGGACGTTAACTTCCGCAACCGCATGCTCAAGTATACGCCTGAGCACATGCACTGCGTGGCAGTCTTTTATGGTGAGTGCGCACACCATCCCAGCCCGTCTCGGGGTCTCGCTCTACTACTGCTGAAACTGATCTCGATTTCTCTCACGCACTTGCGGCCCAATCATCTGCGCGTGCATAGGCCCCATCACACCGCCCGGCACGGGTTGTCTGACGATTCAGAGCGTCTCATCGGTGTGTGTTGAAGCACGGAATGCGCACCATCTTACCACGCCTGCCTTTGAACACTTCCTCGGCGTTTTTTTTTTTTTTTAAATAATCTGACCATGTGTGTCTGGGGTGTCAATGCAGGTGAGCAACAACTTCCGCATCACGGGCACGGGTGTCGTGGCTGAATTGGACAAGACGTCGGACGTTGTGAAGAAACTCAAGCTCGTCGGCTACCCCATGAAGGTTGGCTGTTTATTCATGCGCAAATGCCGGTCGCATTTCTTTGGCCATATCGTGTGCGTGGGCTCACGCGCCGAACCTGTTGTCCACAGATCTTCAAAAACACTGCCTTTGTCCGGGACATGTTCAACTCTTCCCTGGAGGTGGCAAAGTTTGAGGGCGCTTCACTTCGTACGGTGTCAGGCATTCGTGGCCAGGTCAAGCGAGCACTCAAGGCACCAGAGGGCGCGGTAGGTTTGCACTTTGTCCTACACATGTGTACATGCACGTTGCTTACTCCGGCCCACACATTTCGAATGACTGAGAACCGTTTTGTTATCCTTCTGCTCTCACTCGCGCACTTTCTGTGCCGTTCAGTTTCGTGCAACGTTTGAGGACAAGATCCTCATGTCTGATATCATCTTCATGCGTACTTGGTACCCGGTACGTGCTTAACTTGTTTTATGCTGATGAATTGGGGTGAAGTCTGCTCATGTTCTTGCGCTGATCTGCAACCTTTGTGGTACAGGTCAAGCCACCCGAGTATTACAACCCCGTCATGTCTTTGCTGCTGGAAGATAAAAAGGCGTGGACTGGCATGAAGACCACGGGTCAATTGCGTCTGCTGCACGACGTGCCCATTCCTAAGAAGTTTGTCCCAAAGCGCCTACCTGTCCTGGCCTATCGACTGGTGCTTGATGAATGAGTCGCTCATGTCGCGCTTGTGGTACTCGTGTTAAACTTGTCACCAGTAAAAGCTCCGAATACCGCCCCATTGAGCGCCAGGAGCGCAAGTTCAATGCATTGCGCATTCCCAAGTCCATTGAGGCGAATTTGCCGTACAAGAGCAAGCCAAAGGTGCGGTCACGCGTGATGGGTGGGCTTGGAGCGGAGGGCGCTTGCCTCTTTTTATTCTTGGCTTTGGCCATTTCTGGTTTAGTGTCTGACCAACCGCTTTGCGCTGCCGCCTGTCTCGTCTCACTGGTGCCCGTTTGATTGATGATAGTTGAGTGCGGCTCGGCGTCGACCCAACTTGGAGCAACGTCGGGCCCTCATTTCTGAGCCGCGCGACAAGAAACTGGCCCGCCTCATGCAGCAATTAAACACCATCAACAAGGACAAGCAGCAAAAGCGCAACCAGGCTCAGGCTGCCCGCCGTGCGGTATGTTACGAGACGATCAGTGTACTCACCGCTGCTGGTCGAGCTCGTTTCTGACTTTGGGCTGTTGGATGTTTGTAGGAGTATCTGAAGGCCAAGGCCATCGAGGAGAACAAGTCAGCTCAGCGTCGCAAGGAAGCGCTCAAGCAAATCTATCGTTCTGATGGAAAGGAGGAGAAGCGCCGCGCCCGCCAAGCCGCCTCGCAAGCCGGGCGACCCGGACCCAAGCGACGCAAGCAGCGTGATGCTGATGATTAGGCTGGGCTGCGCTCGTGGAGTTGGTTCACGTCAATTTTACACTTTGAACCTGATAAAAAAAAAAGCTCAAAAACTCGGTCGTACCACCTGATCACGTTTGCTGGCAATCGTGCATCAATCACTCTTCGTGCATCAAGTCTGCAACTGCTCTAA